AGAGGGAGGTCTGGGCATCTTTGCTTAGACTGCTGCCCCCGCGACCCGGCCCCGGATAAGCGGAAGAAAATGGATGGATGGATGGACAGTTTTAAAGTCAGATGTAAGGACCGGTGATGCTGCAGCTACGAGAAAGGTTAATGTTTCTCTCTCAGCAGTGATGCGAGCACACATTCAAGTAAAAGAGCAGTTAATCACGATTTCCCCGTTACTGTGAAAGTGTTTATCACAGATACACCTTTCCTTCGTCTGACCTGCATGTTGGTGAAGAGGTTATCTGAGCCGTGGAATCCACCGCTGCAGTACTTGATTTCCCTGGGGTTACTGAGAAGATAAAATAAAAACGCTTAATCTGAGGAGTTACAAGAAAAGCAAAGAAAGACAGTGGAAATCAATGAAACACCTGACAGTTACTTTTATGTTTCCAGCTTATTTTGAAAAAATTAGCTCATCACATATACTTTTTATTTTAGGGTCTGAGAGTTTAATGCATCTAAAGCAGGAGTTATGCTACAGTGCAACTACAGGCTGTTGTTTGTTGCATCGCCAAATTCTTCAGCCTGATGCAGTTTTCCAGGATTACATGTTTGCTATCCATCAAAGTTTGTATCAAGCCTCTCCAGCATGCCATGTTTTATTCATTATACATGACTGCTAACACTAATTGCTGTAAATGTTTCAACTTCAGTCTGGCTAAAGATGCTTTTTCCCCTCATAACCAGATGTGTTGCACCGGTTTCCATAATTCACGAGACTTCTCGACCTCCGGTCAATTAGTACAACAGGTACAAAAATACAGTGCAAGAGCTCACTTGCAATAAGAAAGATTTATCCTGTTGTTGGCCACTTACAGTGCTGCCTGCCAGCCCGGCTTCATATAAAGGTGTCCCCTCTCTATGCGTTTGTTGTTAGCAAAGTGCATCCTTTTGGGAAGGTTTTCTTTGAGGTATGGCTTCATTGGCTGGTCAGGGGCCCTGCACTTCAGAACAGACACAGACAAGGAGAATCAACACTCAGCAGAGAATGGATCGGGCCATTTGACATGAAGTTAAGCAAGCAGATCATTTTCTTTCTTCTTCAAAATACAAGAGTGGCATTTGGAATACTTCGCATACCGACAGGTTCTTCACCAGGCCTTCATAGTTGACTGAGGAAAGAAACAGGACACGGTCACACACTGCTTACAAATAAGATGATGCTGCAGTGCTAGTTTTACAATATGGACTGGAACTCACAGGTGAAGTAATCCTCCGGGAGGCGAGTGGGTCTGATGCGAGCAGCCGGGCCTTGGATGACAGTAAAGCCGTCGGTATTGGCCTGGTAGGTTGACACATATGCTGCCTTTTTGCATGTAGCCTCCTCCATGCCTGTGAAAGAAATAATAATATCCTCGGTTTTTCCAATAAATGGGGTGGATATGACTAATTTCCTTAAAAACATGGCCACGATAGCATGAAAACAGAGTTTGTGAGCCGCTTCTGAACATTATTTTAAGAATCCATGACTTTGCTCTAAGCTGAAATTGTTTCACTTCTTCCCCTGCAGGGTTACAAAAATTCATCTACCCTGAAAATATTAGCACTTACTTTATCATGTCCATGATTTTACAGCCAGATATTTGTTATTGTATAAAATCTTCTCCTGGAAATGGTATCTTTGATGGAAACTGGGCCACTCCCATATACAGCCAGGGAAAAAATGATTTGAACCCCAGCTGATTTTGTACGTTTGCCCACTAACAAAGAAATGATCAGTCTACAATGTCAATGGTACAGCTGAAACTTGAACCTTTGCTGATCATTCTAGGAATGTCTGAAGTTGCTGTATCTTTGACCAGACCGCAGCAGTGCTTCCTCTCTTATTGTATTATCATTGCGAAAAAGTTACTTCTTATGTACTGGAAGAAAAAAGATACACCTTTAAAGTTGTGGCTTAGTAATCTTGCAAATACACTTTGCCTTGAAAGAATGAGGTACACTCTCTCAGACAGACTTCCCTTTTCCAATAAAATCTGGATGCCTCTTTCCAATTTTCTTACATCTACAGTTAACTAATCAGACTTGTATGTGGCAACTGGGGGCGTGGGGGGGGATGGATATGTTTTGCTTCACGAAGTTCTATTGTTTTATTTTTGTTACTTGTAGAATTGAAAATAGAGCAAGAAAAGATTTCTTTATGCTTCATGCTTGTACAATCTAAACCTTGCTCAATAAAAACTTGATGGAAAATCAATGCCCTGACTGAGGGAAGGAGGTTCTCACCCAAGATTTGACGGTACATGGCCCCATCCATCCTCCCTTTGATGCGGTGCAATTGTCCTGTCCCCTTGGCAGAAAAACACCCCCAAAGCATAATGTTTCCACCTCCATATTTGACCAGGTGGACGGTATTTTTGGAGTCATAGGCAGCATTCCTCCTCCTCCAAACACGGCGAGTTGAGTTGATGCCAAAGAGCTCGATTTTGGTCTCATCTGACCACAACACTTTCACCCAGTCTTCCTCTGAATCAGTCAGATGTTCAGTGGCAAACTTCAAACGGGCCTGTAGATGTGCTTTCTTGAGCAGGGGGACCTTGCAGGCACAGCAGGATTTCAGTCCTTCACAGCGTAGTGTGTTACCTATTTATATAATACTTGTGTTAGTTGTGTAAGGATGTAAGGCTGAGCTCAGTGTGTACGGAAGCTTGATCTGTCTCTGGCGCAGGCAAGAATATCTTGGGCTGTGTCCCCCTTGATTAACTTATGGGTCAACATCCTGAGTGACTTCCTCCTCAGATAAGGAATGGATATATTGTAGCTGCAGCTTATGTGAACTGTTTGCGTGCTCTGTTCAGGTTTAGAAAAAGGAAAGGTGCGCTAGATCAATGAGACCTAGAAGGTCATGTACTGGACATTTTTAGACAATGCTCGGAAGAAGGTGTGTGAGGGTAGCTGGCATGCAGATGCACATGCAGAGCTGTGTGAGTATGAGCAAAAGAAGAGAGAGAGAGGATGACCATGCTACCGTGAACAGTAAACCACGTACTTTTGGGGACCCAGCTGGCTGGGGCGGGGGGATGCTGACTGACTCGGGACCGACATCCAATGACCTGACTGACTTGAGCAGGGGGACCTTGCGGCTACAGCAGGATTTCAATCCTTCACGGCGTAGTGTGTTACCAACTGTTTTTTTGGTGACTATGGTCCCAGCTGCCTTGAGATCATTGACAAGTTCCTCCCGAGTAGTTCTGGGCTGATTTCCTCACCGTTCTCATTATCATTGAAACTCCACGAGGTGAGATCTTGCATGGAGCTCCAGACCGAGGGAGATTGGCAGTTAATTTATGTTTCTTCCATTTGCAAATAATCGCACCAACTGTTGTCACCTTCTCACCCAGCTGCTTGGCGATGGTCTTGTAGCCCATTCCAGCCTTGTGTAGGTCCACAATCTTGTCCCTGACATCCTTGGAAAGCTCTTTGGTCTTGGCCATGGTGAAGAGTTTGGAATCTGGATTGATTGAAGCTGAGAGGGCTCCCAATGTCAGCTCGTTACCTGTATAAAATACACCTGGGAGCCAGAGATCTTGCTGACTGATAGGGGATCAAATACTTATTTCATTCATGAAAATGCAAATTAATGTACAACTTTTTTTGTAATGCATTTTTCTGGATTTTTTTGTTATTGTTGTGTCTCTCACTGTTCAAATAAACCTACCATTGAAATTGTAGACAGATCATTTCTTTGTCAGTGGGCAAACTTACAAAATCAACTGGGGTTCAAATCATTTTTTCCCTGACTATTTGTTGTATAAATCTGCTCCAAAACTTGCCTTAATGTGAGAGGTGCTGTCGAAGCCTCCTGTGACCCAGACTCATTGAACAGCACTAACAGCAGTGCAGAGATATTAGCTTCTAAAAGGTTTTGAGCAGGATCGACCTCTCTAACCAATCAGAGATGTTCAGTTATTTCTGGTTAATCAGTAAATTCTGTTGCATTGTCATTGCTTGTAATTTCATAACAACAAATATCTGAAGCGCTGGACAGAGCGTGAAGGAGCGTAGCAGATTGTAGTAGAACATAGAGCAGAGTGGATTGATTAAGCATTTCATGCTAGTGTTACATACTGTAGCTTTAGGAAGACTGCAGAAAGTTTGAAAGTTAATAAAGAAATCCAAAGAAAAAGACAGATGAAGAAAAACAGTTCATTGCTTAAAAAGTGTCCCATTTCCTTTTCCACTTTTCTGTGGTTGTTCATCTTATTTTGGCTTCTCAAACTGAAATATAGAATTCTCTCCTCTATTACTGATTACTTTGATTTTTTTTCTGTAAATGTATACCATTAACTGTATCATAGCTGTGTGGAGAGGGTGTAATTATCTCACCATGATCTGACACGATTATCAAGTTAAAACAGTTCTGCAGGTCTCTCTCTGTCAGGCCGTCCATCAGCATGCCCAAAATCCTGTCCACGTTCTCCAAGGCCGCAATCACCTGAAGCCACAACAGAGGTTAAAGTTTAACAGAGTCAACGTGTTAATGTGGCTGGAAAGCAAAGTTCACCAAAACTGTAGCATGGAAACAGTTTAAAATATAAGGACCTTAAATGACTTTGTCCACATTGCTTATAACTTAGACTTTATTAAATGTGCTTTGGTTTAACGTTTGAAATGAAAGGGAAAAAATTTTAAGTGGCTCCAACTGAGAAAAATCACCAATTCCTTTGACGCCAGCTAAATTAAATGCTAGATAATATTTTGATTAATCAATCATTTAAGGCCATTTTCAAGCAGAAATGCCAAAATTAGCTGGGTCCAGATTCTGAAATGTGAAGATGTGTGGCTTTTCTTTGTTTTATATGATGGTAAACTGAATATTTTTGTATTTCAAACTGCTGTTTGAACCAAACAAGCAGTGTGAGGTTATCATCTTGGGTGTAAGACAATTGTAACGAGCAAGCTTCACAGTTTTCTGATAATTTATAGGCTAATCTATTAAAAACAATCAGCAGGGTGATCAATAATAAGAAAAATCTCACAGGTACCAGTCATATCATGCAGAATTACAAGCAGTGTTTCACTTAATAATATTAACTAGTTACTTCACAGCTTTGACTACATCTCAGTCATCATCAGTCGATGGATTTTAAACACTCCCCTCCAAATAGGACCATGACTGAAGGCTCCAGAAAGAAAATGCAAGTAAGTAGACCTTGAGCTAAGATTTTGTGAAACTCCTAAAAGGTCAATGATGAACTTTCCCACCATTTTATTTGTTCTGCCTAGTCTGTTGTTCTCTCAGGTAATTAATCAGATTATAGTTTTAGGTGTTTAGTGAACTAACCTGTCTGCTTGCTGGACCATAACGATGTCCTGAAGAGTCAGGTTCGTCCAGGTACAGAGTGTAAAAGTCGGGTCTAAAATCACCGAGGCCACAGATTAATGTCATGTAAAGTGTTTGATGCCAAATAACATGCACAATAAAACATGTCATACCTTTGTCCCTCAGGTAAACTGAGCCACTCAAGCACAGTCGACACTCTCTGCTCAAATGAAATACTCCTGTGCACAAAAACACGGCACAGTGTCATTAATAAAGATCAATACACCAAGATTTGTAGCCATGACTTTAAAAGCATGCGACATAACGGCATCGCTCTTACTTGTCATAGAGCTTGTAGAAATCTGGGAAGGTGCCATTGATGGCTACGTCCGAGCCCGGCCAGAAGAAGGTTCCTGTTTTTAGTTTCTGATGGCTGGCAGTGATCCAGACCTGAAGAGAGGAAAAGGAAAGGAAGGCAAACAAAAGAGGATAAGAGGAAAGGAAACACATAAGGAAGGAAAGGAACAAACAAAAAAGAGGCAAAGAAAAAAAAGGAAAAGAAGAAAGAAAATGGAGGGCCACAAAAAGGAAAGGATGGGAGAGGGAAGGAGATGAAAAGTAAAGAGGAGCAGAAGAAATCATCATCTAGGTGCATGATAAATTCAGACAGATTACTAATCAACTCATTCATCACATCAGCAGTGTTTTGTCCATAGAGAAATAGTGTAATAACTTAACAGTCAAGCGCGATGGTTAATTATACTGCACATTTTAATGATAAATCAGTACCTGTAAGACCAATCTGTCATGAAGTAAACTTACAGTCATTGTTTATCAGATGCACTGAGCTGTACTGGATTAACCATCATTACAAAATTATGCATTCCTGGAGAATAAGTCACTCAAGAAAGTCATCCATTTCTCCTTCCCTTTTGAAAAGACAAAAGTACTGCTGCATGGTGTATTTTAAAGGAGAGTAGCCTGTCACACAGCTGAGGAATGAGATTTACGAGGCTTTGAAACCACAGAGCGTCTAAACAAGCCCTTGCAGTCTGTCACTTAGCATGAGCAGAATCCAGTTATAACACATTTGGGCTTTGGAGCTTCATATTTACTGAGCAGTACATTTTCACAGCTCTACTCAAGATCACTTACAGGCTCTCCTTGGTACCATTTTGGGTTGACTTTCTCCTCACTTTTCAAGCTGAAGAAAGCATTTTGAGTCACGTCATACATCTTGTTGTCCACAATCCCGTGAGACTCGGGATAAAGACCCTGCAGGAATCAGGAGGTGAGTGAAGGTAAGCAAGCAAGCAAACAAAATTTATTTATATAGCACCTTTCTACACCTACGTTACAAGGTGCTTTACAGTAAAACAAAAAATTATAAAAATAAAACCAGATAAAACACATGTACACCATAAAACAATAACACCAAAAATGCATAATCAAAACAAATACTGTACATCAATCAGAAAAGATTGTGAATACAAATGCGTTTTAAGGAGTGATCTAAAAACAGTCGGGCTCGGAGCAGATCTAATATCCCATGGCAGACCATTCCACAGTACAGGAGCCCGAACCCAAAGGTGAGCTGCTTTGACTCTGTGGCTGTAGGGATTTACAGTGATTAACTTCTCTCTCCCGTCTTCAGAACCTAGATATGACTGGTAACCACAGCAGTTTATTTGAACAACTTTAAATACACCGTGTTAAAAATAAATCTTCTGTACTTTTATCAAAGTAGGAGTCTGCAGGACTTGTAATGGAATACTTTACATTGTTGTGTTGGTATACGAGTTCTTTTACCACAAACGAAACATGTCAATGAATCTGGCAGTTTTTATCCAATAAATCAAACCTTTGTTCTGGAAACAGATCACACACACACACACACACACACACACACACACACAAAAACTTACAGTCACGAGGGTGTAGTGGTTGGGGAAGGTCTTTGTGGGGTAAGCAGGCCTCATGTATGGGGTTGTTGTTCCGATCTTTCCTGCAACACAGTAATGTTCAGTCCCACCAGGATGCTGCATAAACCTGGAAGAGCTGTGGAGTCAGTGCTGGCAACTTACGTAACCTGTTGATGACAGGAAGGTGGCTGCTGTGATCTTTGAGGTACCCTGCTCTAAAACCGTCCAAGGACACCAGGATGAGGGGAGGCTTGGAAAAACTGAGTGGGAAGACAAAGAATGATACTTTAACGGGACAGTGAGGTGGGTCTGTGAATGGAGACTGTTATTTACTCAGCAGGGGACATGAGTATCTTTGGCCACAGTAATGTAGAGGTAGTGTTATACAGTAGGTCTGTATAGAGAGAATACAAAGAGGCTCTCTGACTGGGTCAAAACACAGACACAGAGTGGCATGAAAAGAAACAGGCGCCATTATTAAGTATTCATTAACTGATGTTTAAAAAAAAAGGAAAAGAAAGAATGGCTGGTTATACTGTTTTATCAATATAGGTGGAATTAAAAAGGCATTCATGAAAAATAAACTACTAAAAAATAGATAGTTTAAAGACTAATGAATAACTAAATAATGGAGTTTCAAAATCAGTTTTAAAAAAGCAACAACTATTAATTTAATTCAATGAAAAACATTGTAATCAGGAAACTGGAAGGGCAAATCCTTAGTCCAGTTCCCTTGGCATTTTTATTTACAATTAAAATGAGTTTGGTCCTTGAAAAATAGTCTAAGAACTTGTAAAAAATGAGCATCAGCATTTCCCAAAAGTTTTTTTCCCCCAGTATAAAGACCACATTAAAATAAGTATGGTTTACCAGCAGAAACAATGGAAACCAACCCAAGAGAATGAGTGACTTTGATAAATAAAGTTACAGACAACCATTTTTCAAACCAAAATGGCTTCAATTGGAACCACAACTTTTCTTTTCCATTGCCTAATGGTCTGTCTGGGGTTCCTCCCATACCAGAGCGGAAACACACACATTCACCAACACGACTGATTACTCAGAGTCATTAGTCCAGCTTCGATAATAGAGAGTCATATATTTAGGTTATTTACACACTTCTGAAACAATCTTCCAGACTGTGACATCAGAGCCAGTTTAAATTCCCCTCAACTGTCTACTGGGAACAATAGTCTCGACTCAGGGTAACTGTGGGCAGCACAGCTGGATAGTTTTATTCTCAGCACTAAAAGATATTGCACAAATAGGAAGAAATGTAGTGCTGATGTAAATTAAACTCTCTTACTTTTGAGGAATTATTTCATATTGAAACTACAACAGTAAAAGGAGAGCACTGTATTACCCAGCTGGACACTGTAGCTGTTGATTTACTTCAGAGGTCAACTTCAGCCAGAGCTCCCCTGATGCTAAAAAAAAAAGGAGGAGTGTTGTCAGTGAAATACAAGTACATTTCCTGTTCCACAGAATGTGCAACAGCTTTGACTTTAACACACAATAATGATGTCAGCAAACACCAAAAAAAACTTGTGTTAAAAGACAAAAGGTACCAGCAGTAGTTTGGAAATGTGCAAGACCTGTGACTATAAAGTGATTCAAACATTAAGCTGTCAGCACATTTTTACACTTTTACGGTAATGGTGAACAAAAACACATAATATTTTCCAAAGAGTAAGAGAAGCAATGACAAAAACAGAAATGCATATCTAATAAATAGCTAACACTGTGCTAACTTTGGCAGAAATGTTCATTTAGGATCCCACTGCTCATGGTGTGGTGCTGATTGAGAAAATTGGTTTCCAGGGGTTTTAATGTCAAATTTAACAGGACTGTTGAAACATGAAAGTGCAATGTATGCACAATAAAACACTCTGTGCATTGACTAGACTCAGAGTTTGAAGGCTTCCCGTTTTCCTGCCAAGTGACGTTTTTCAACTGAACTTTGGAGCAAGATGACAACACAACTCTGTGAATCACATGAATATGTTTCATAAATAGCCCAAGTGAGTAACAGCACAGAAAGATTCCAGGAACAAACAGAAAATACTCTGGTCACCATATTTTTAAGTCAGAGCTGGACAACATGTTCACAAACACACACCCTCAATTTCATGGAAGCTAAACTGGTAAAAACTGCTTTTGTTAACAAAATGAGATCAGTGAACTACTGACCTGCTTATGTTTACATAGCCTAAGGCCACGCGTGCACATCAGACAAGGCACATCCCTCCCTTAGAGACATTTAATTTTCTTAATCTGAGACTATGTAAGTGAAATATATAGAACCGCAGCATCCGGCAACATGCACAGATTTAGTAGACGTGTATTAATAAAGGTTTTGGTTATGTGGGGGCTGTGTAACAAATGTCAATTCAACTGTCTGCTCACTTTGGAAGATGTGTAGTTTGTGCAGCTGTTGAACTGTACTGCATTTAAGATGCTCCTGTTATTAGCTGCAGGACTGTTGTGGCCTATTAGACTGCATTAGTTTGACCTGTTTTGTGAGTTTCTTCTGGCCCAGTATACACCTGGATCCTTAACAATCATGACAGCATGATCATCAGATGCTATTCCCACGCCTGGGTCAATTTTAGCGCGCGCACACACACACACACACACACACACACACACACACACACAGGTAATCTGGATCAGATGTGGAAGTAGCGTATGACAATCATGCCAAAGACCCTGGTATCTTTTGGGTAGAAGGAAACAATTTTGTTATCTGGGCTGATGGTGGGCAGCTTTTGCCCACTGCTGCCAGAAATTACACGTTGAGAGCAGTGAGACTGAAACAAAGAAGTAAAGTTGTGGGCCATAAAACCACATGCTTTGTGGGACAGCAGAGTCAATAAATCTCTGAGGCTCATTACTACAAGTGACCACTTTCATGTGATCTACAACAGTGCAGAGCTGACAAAACACCTAAAAGAAACTCATCATATCCTCTGTGGACTTTCTCCGAGCATCTGGAACAAATTAGAACTTTCCCACAGACAAGGTGACACCAAGCAGGAAGCTGTGGGCCACCTCTTTCACCTTTCAAGCAACTGCCTTGTCAAGTCGGCTGCTGACTGAACATATGACAGAGGAAGTCTTAGCATGTTGGTGAGAAAGCCCCTCCTCACTGCCTCTCAAGGCCAGCGCTGTGGTTTGGACCAACACGGGGACACTCTGTCTCAGGAGACAAGTTACTGTGGTCTGTAATGCACGGGGAAACCCGCTCTCAGCATTTAACACTACACACTGCAAGTCCGGGGTTATTTATTTTGATATCTTTTAATATGATTCCAAACTTCTTATAGAGTAGTGTTTATGAAAAAGTAGAAGTTCTAATAAAGCTGCATAGATGTGAATAACTCCAAAATAAGGGTCTGAGTGAGTGAGAAAACTACATTTATTCTTCCCATATGGCTTTTATGATAGCTGGATAGGAAATAATGCCACAGCAGAGAGAGCACCCCGCCCAGGCCGGGGACAGCTGCCCACAGTCACCACCACAGCCCCTGAAATGGAAGAGGGGTGTTTTGGCATGTTGGTTTGCAACAAAGAGTGCACTGATACTGCTGCCCACGTCTGGCCAGAGGGAATGTATAGCTGCAGAAAATACACCAGCTCAGGGGGAACATTCCTGTCTCACTTGTATTTATGAAGTGTTTTGCTAAAGCAAAAAAAAAAAGTGGTACCACGCTGACAGAAACAACCTGTGAATAAATCATTAAGTTTTATGAGATAACCTCCGTCTCCCCTTCATTCTCCTCTCTTTCATCTAGTGGCTGCTTGGCAACTTGACTCTCCTTCACTGCTGCTCTAAATACTCCAAGTTTGGAGTTTCTGTAATCTAAGATTGCCCGCCTCCCACTATTGTAGCCAAGGAATCTCTGTTCCCTGTCAACAGCATGATGGTGAGTGAAAACCATGCCTCACAAGATTTTTGTGTATAGGGAGCACTGTAGTTTAACTCAGGCTGTGAGTGATCAGTCACATTTTGTGATCAGATTTATTTAAGGTGCGACTGACTTTTTTGCAAAGGTCGCACTGGATGAGACTGCAAAATTAAATCAGGTAAATCACCTGGGGCCTATTTCAAGAAGGCGGTTTTGTCGAAACTCAGAGTTTGTTAACCCCGAAATGAGGGAAACTCTGAGTTTTCGGTTTCAGAAACGGAGGTAACTTAAACCCGTGAAAGCGGGGTAAGTTAAACCCGTTTCACAAAGAGAGGTAATCTAAACTCAGAGTCAGTTACTATGGCAACTTACTCTGTGAACCTA